GATCATTTGGGGCTTGAGGCTTTAGCATTTAGCATTTGGCTTGTGTTTTTGTTCTTTTGAGGTCGTGTAACTGAAGTCATATAGTAATGTCGAGTTACCTCTTAATTGGCCCTTAATCTTGCTACTCCTATGGGTGTAGGAAACTTCATACACAAGTGGGATTGTGACACAACAGCTCGAATCTCTATCAAGGTAGGTTAGCTAATAATGACATTAAAGGATGATGCCATTTTAACAACTAAGAATAAAACTAAAAGAGTGGTATAAGCTTGACCTTTGCCAAAAGCTACGTTAAGTGTAAGTACTCCCTCAACTAGGATTGGCTGGTTGTTGAATTTGTAGAAGAGGCCATCATACTTTTGTAATAGAGTTAGATTGAGCCCTAAGCTTTCAAAATAATGATAATACATTCTATCCAGTGCACTACCAGTGTTAATAAGGACATGCTATACCTCACAATTATTAATTATGATGAAAGTGACCAAAAGGTTATTGTGAGTTGTTACAACACCGTTAGGGTCAGTAGATGTGAAGGTTATGGGTTGGTTTTTCCAATATACATAATCAAATTTCCTCTTTTGAGCTCGGTTCTAGTTCTGGTGCTTAACCTCTCAAATGTATAATTTTCTCTGATTGGAGCTCAACGCTCTCGCTTTAAATCCACATGTGATCATATAAATAATTCGAGTTAGAGGTTGTAAAGGTGGTAAGGCTTGCTGGTACCCCACTCGCTCTTTGTCGTTTTGTATTACGAGGTCTCTCAGACTACTGTTCCTATTCTCTGACAAACTTAGGCTGGTTTGTCTTTTGGATAAACTCATTCAACATTCTTCTCCAAGCTAATTCTTCCAATTCAAACTTCAAGTCATTGCACTCTTGTGTTGTGTGACCATGATTTTGATGAAAGTCACGATATCTAGTGTGATAATTTGTAGGAAGGAGCTTCTCATTGAGGTTGGTCTCTTCCATTCCATTTTATTCTTATCTACATTAGAATTTGTGACCTTGGTAGGTTGGAAGGAGTTTATGTGGCTGGTGGCTTTGTGGATGATGGTTAGGAAACTGTTGATGATTCGATTTTCCCAAATCTAGGTGTAGAAACAGAGATTGGACCATGGTTTTGAATTGCCTTCATTCTTTTCTTACTTTGTCCTTCTTCCCTCCAAGGTGGATTCTGGTTCTTTACAAGTGTTAGGTTTCAGGACAAAGTATATTCCTCAATTGTGATAAACTTCTGGGATCGATCATTGACCTCATCAAAAGTGGCAAAAGGATGTTTGATCAAATTATCTCAAAATTGTTCATGGTTAAGGCCCTGAATTATGGTAGCAATTATAATAGCCTTATCGAAAGAGTTGATCTCAAGAACTACATCATTGAATTTATTCATATAACTTTTCAAAGTTTCCCCTTCTGGTTATATCACCTTCATGAGCTTAGATGTGGTTTTCTTTATCAACCTTCTGCTGGAGAATTTTGTAGCAAAAGTAGTTGTCATTGCCATATAAAAGCTGATGGATCTCGAAGGCAGGCTATAATACCATGTTTGAGCAATACCCCAAAGGGTTGAAGGAAATATCTTGCACATTAAGGCATATGAAGCATTTTTTAAGCTTGCATGTAGGAGTAGAAAGCATGTAAATGGTCATCAAGGTTCTTAGTTCCATCATATGTTTCGAACTGAGATCTTGAAACTAGCTGGGTAGGGTTCTTAAATGATATTAGTGTTTAATGGGTGTGGCATCGAATTAGCATTGTTTTAGAGAGGTGGAACACCTCGTTGCTCAGCTACTATTCTTTCCAAACTATCAAGATGTCTAGTAATGTCCTCTGGTAAAGCTAGTTGAGGTGGAACTGAATGACATTGACCCTATGACTCACTAAAGGCTGGGGCATCGCTATTAACATTGGAATGGGCATTATGTTGCTCTTGTTGCTGAACTAGGGGTTGCTGAGCTGGATTCAATAAGTTGATGAGGGGATCACCAAGGTTATTTCTTGCTAGAAGCTAGGCTAACACCAGTTGGAAAACCCCAAATTGCTGTTGCATTACTGCAAGCTATGCTACTGCATTATTGTAAGCTGTGCTGCTACTGCATCTCCTTTAATGGAGTTAGGTTCTGAGGTTCGTTCTCATCACCTCCTTCGATATGCTATTCCATGTGAGTGGCTAGGTTTGGAGTGGATTGTAAGAAATTATTGGTGTGTTGTCCTTGAGCTTAGCCTATAGGTTGGGCTTGGCTTTTAGTATGAGTAGAGTGAGTGTTAACCATGTCACAAAGGTAATAGTAATAAAGCTTGTAATTTGATTCCCATAGACGGTGCCAAATGTAATTGCAATGAACCTTCTGGATCTTCCTAGTTTAAGTCTTTTCTCCAAACAAACCTATAAAGCCTCGAGGTTGGTCTTTGAGGTATACACTTCGATATTTAAATCAGCAATAATCTAGTCTACTCTTAAAGAAGTATGGAAAAAGAGCTTTAGGTCGATTTTAGTTACCTTTAGGAGGTGACCTTGAAGGTATTTATAGACCTTAATGAGTATCCACATGGCTTTTTTTAATGAAATAATCGAGATATGATGTGTCCATAAGAATGAGGCTCTAGGGAATGGGGGATTAGGTGAGTGCATTCTCACTGTAATAATCATATGACTAGGTTGAACTCAAAGCCTCAACTCAACTATTTGGTGATCTGAGCTCAAACAACTTCAAGAGATTCACACTTAGTATAAACATAGTATGTTTGAGATCACCGATCTTGGATTTTTCTTTATAGGTACATA